AACTATATTGCTAATTAATTAGGTCACTAAATAGGGATAGTCTTGACAAAACTTTTATAATGATCGAGTAAAACAATATATGGCTTAGAAAAAATCGAACATCTATCTTCATAAGATAATGAAATTAAAAAAATGCCACGCAAGGGGTAAAGAATTGATGCATTTGGCATAAAGTAATCACTTGGTTTTAATAATTTTTTGTTTTTTTTAGTACAATTTAATAATTTTTTGTTTAAAGTTTCCTTCATTGTTTAATAAATTTAAAATATATTTATTCAATGAATTAATATGTTACATCAATTTTAGTATCACACGTTCGTCAGCTTTCCGGTTAATATAAAAAGAAATATAAATCAAAATTACTTCAAAACAAGTATATTGAAATTCTTTAGTGATCTAAGAGTAAAATTTTCAAATACTAAAAGTGTATTATTATTTTTTTTTATAAAGTACGTACTAATTCTGGCACTACACGAAATTCATATATTTTTTTTATATAATTTCCTAATGTTCATGGGGGAGATCGTTTCGCCACGAAAATAACTTTTTTCAACATTTAATTAGATACATACCGGATAGAAACACTAAAACATGACCTTCTTCAACCTGACATGTCCAATCGTTAGTTGGATTCTCTTTCGAACACCTAATCCTATAAATAAGTGTCATTTTACTCTACGATATCGCATTCTAGCTTGGTCTCTATACTATATAAGATCGAATTCTGTACATGTCTCTCATTGTCAATCGTCCTTCTAGCTCGTTCATGACGTTCAAGTTCCCCCAACCAGCCTATATTGACTAGACCGACTTTGACCGATATTTATTGCACAAACACTCACTAAAGATAACTTAACTGAGATAAATCGAAGGATCATCAAAGTATTCATTCTAAAGCTTAAATCCTTATTTCAAGTACTTGTAATTTAATAAAGAAAAAATGATTCATATAATGTTTTAAGGGTGTTTTTCTAAATGTTTACTATCAAATTTTTACCACGTGTCATTGATTTATCGTTTCTATTATAAAGATTTTACCAAATTATTGTAAACTTGTAATCTCACTTTAACGAAGAACAATTTCAATTCAATAAAAAATATATCGTATGCAATTAAAAAAAAAAAAAGCTACCCAAACATGTTTTCACTAGCTAAATTTTATTCTAATAAATAGAAAGATGTTTGTTAAGTAGTGTCGAAACAACTTACCATATTCAAGATAAATAAACCTTCAAAAAATTTATTTAAAAGTAGTAAACGTGTACATTCATTAGATTGTTTAATAAATGTATAAACATTTTTTTTAGCACAACAAATATGGAAATGAGAGATTGGACCTCCGATTATAAGAAAATTTAAAGAAATCTTAAGTCCGATAAGGGCCATACAATTTAAGAACAATCAAGACAATTGGTCTAAGCACGAAAGAAAATCAAAATCTATAAAGAGATTAGAATTTACCTGGAACTAATTATGGTTTGTGGTTTTCCCCAACCATGAAACTCGAACTAAATATGGACAATTCTCTCATTTTGATGATAAACCAGAAGGTTTAAGTAGTATACTGAGGATCATAACCATATATTTTTATATATTAATTTTAGGGTTTCTCATAATCCCTAAAATTAATTAACTAGTTTCTACTCAGCACGTCACACATCTTGATGGGAAGTCATGAGTCATAATCAAAATCACTTATATGCCAATTAAAAACCCAAACATAGTTTCTCTTTATCATTACCTACATATGAATTGATTATTAAATCAATTCCAACATCTAAGTCTAAAGTAAGATGTCTTAATCGCTGAGCTACATGAACATAAAATTTGTTAAGACATATATCATTGGTCAAAAATAAAATATATATTTGTTAAAAAAGTAAGAATATCTTAATGCGAGGACGCCCCACAAGTTCGAGTGATTTTGTAGAGTAAAAAATATCCCTATTTAAAAAATCAAATTGGTTTATAATCCTTTTTTGAATAATCACTTTAAAAGTTAGATGGTCAAAAAATAGTAATGTAATATTCATATAATCAAATTTAGATTTAATGCAACTAAACAGATCCGTGATTAAAAGCAATTTCAAGAAAATGTAACCAATTATATGTGTATTTAAATTATTGTTATTTTTGTAAAAAGTGTTTTAAGAAATTTTTTTTATTATAAAAATAGTGATAGTACACTATAATGAAAGCAATACTTGTTTGTATTCCTTCTCTCTCTCTCTCTTTCTCTTTTTTTCATTTCAATTCTTTTTTAATTATTACTTTTTGGTTTGTGGGAATAAGCCAAATTTTTAGAAATTTGACTCAATTATTTTTCCAACTTGTAGGAGCCACTTGATCACAGGTGGACCCCATAACATTCATATCTTTTAATCACAGCCGTCCAATCTTCTGCATTAAGATTGAGTTTGAAGCATCCTCCAATCAGATGGGAGATTGGTGTCTGGGTCCCACCCCACCATTCATATAAATAYATATAAATTTCACAATAATTTTTTTTATAGGAATATATTTTGAGAAGCATGTGGAGAACTTTGGAAAGAAATTTAAAGTATTTCCAAATATATCAAAATATTTAAATCCCTATTAAACTTATTCTCATGATATCTTGAGGGAAAAAAAAAAAGAAAAAGTAGAAAGAGACATTAACTATGCATCATTTATAACACATGCTTTTCATAGATGCTAAATTTTAATTCTTAGACTTTCAAGAACTTATASGATAACGACAAAAGTAGACAAACTCATAGCTTAGTGTAGTGTCGTTTAAAGTGTTTAATTCGAAAGTTTTGTTGCTTATTCGATATTTTGTCTGATTCAATTATCTGATCGATTTTACGAATTTTATTAGAATTATATGACCCAGAGTGAACATTTCGAAAACAATATTTATAAATATTTTAAAATTCAAAATTTGCCGCAGACACGAAATAGGTAAAACGTGGGAACATAGCTCCATTTTTCATAAAAATATTTTTGTTATCCAAATCATGTTTTTTCTCTRGATAACATTTTAGAGWCTTCCCCTTTTCAACATAATATATTTAAAGATTATAAAAAGTAGTTATAATGAGTTGTGATCAGGRTATTAAATTTCTATCTATATGTTGACATTTCCATCGACATTTCTATATATCCATAAGTTCGACATCAATATAAATGATGAATCAACATTTTCATATCATCTAAAAAAATCGACAAACTATCAACGAAATATCACTAGTGCAAACATAGTGCTAATAAAAGAAAGTGTATATAACTTATTTAAAAAAGGATAAATTGTATATTTATTAATTTAAATATTTGCTATGAAATTTTTTAATTTTATAAATTTTGTGAAATATTCATTGACGAATCATTGAGAATTTGATATCGACATTTGAAACTTGAGAATTTGATATCGACATTTGAAACTTTGGTTGTGTTTCTTTAATTCATTTTCCTTCATACGTAGATAGTTTCTTGTACTTTAAAAAAATTCTTAATGAAAATAATTTCTTTAAGAAAATTGAGATGACTTATCCTTCTAAATACTTGGATGGATAAGAAATTTAATTGGATGATAGTTATTGATGATTTAATATATTATATCATGTGTTTTTATCAAGCATTAAAAGTTTGATGTAATATCAAGTATCAAGATATTCTACTGGAAAATTGTAAATAATATTGTCGCCAACACGAGCTTGTAATTGACATTTATCTTTGATCTAAAGAATATGAGTTTAAATCCTTGCCCTCATTTTTCGTATTCTAAAAAAATTGATTGTAGATTTGCGAATCGTATCTATCTAWTTTTAGTTTTCAACCAAGATTTTAAATGTTTCTATTGAAATGTGGGGCGGAAATATAGATAAAATGTGGATAGATATTTCTAAAAATGTTATAAAAATAAAAAATCCGTAAAAAATATTTAAATTAACTAAATTAACTTACCGTTTCTAAATAAGCTAAAAATGATTAATATTATGATTATATCCATATTAATGATATTTTGTTGATATTTTTTGTATTTTGTTGATATTTTTTTGGCAATATTATAGAAATGTCGATTTACTCCTTATGTTAATAGAAATGTTGATGAAAATGTTGACATGTCGATAAAAATTTAATACCAAAATTTTAAACGAATTGATATAGGTACCACTAAAAGAATATATACATAGAAAAAGAAAACACAATTTTTTTAAAACTAAAACCATATTTAATATATATAATTACGATTTACAAAACAAATAAACAAGTTTCATTTGTATAATGATTTTTATAAAAGTCTAGTGAGGAAATTGACTTTTTAAAAGTTTAAATACGAAAATAAAATATCATCTAAAATTTAGGTAATAAGATAGAGATTTGGATATAGATYGAAATAAATCAAAATATTATTGTGATACGATGCCAATAGTTTCAATTTTTGTCGATTTTAGTATATAATTATGGTCACTTTGTTAGTTTAATTTTTGTTCATTTTGGTCTAAATAATTTTAAAAAATGATTACTTTAGTCCATTTTTTTTATCTCATTTCTTTGTGTAAAAAAGAATTTATTGTGTAGTTTGCAAATAAAGATCAAATTATTCACTTTTAGAAGTACGGACATTTTAAAATTGAATAAAAGTAGAAAAAAATAAATTTGAATTAAAACMAAGTATATAGATTAAAATAATATTAAATCAATAAGAATATCAATTTTTTTATTAATATAATATCTATATAAAAAAATGGTGAATAAACCAGAACCGTCCGATCAAGAAATGGACGGTTGAGAGAGATTTTCATGGCTTCCCCTCAACTGAGGAGAAAAAAGCTATCCCAGCCGTCCCGCCATCCCTGCAAGCAGCTAGTTGGATTCTCCTCCAGAATCCTGACAAATGCTGCCCCATCTGCCCGCGGGCAGCATATCCTCCAATGGCGGAGGGTCCGGTCGGCAGCACCCGACCCAGGGCCTCCACACGCAATGTTGGAATCTTTTTTTTATATATAATTCAAACCCAGAAGAGAACAATTGGATTGAATCCATTTCCTTAAGAGCCGCAGCCACACAAGGAAACCCCGCCCCTCTGTTCCTCACAATTCCCATTTTTGTTACATTTTAGAGATCAACAGAGGGAGAAAGAGGAGGGAAGCGAAGAGAAGAGAGGATCGTTTTCTTTTTCTTCTCTCTTGGAATCTGCCCGCAAATTTCTTCTTAGAATTCATTTTCCCTGATTTGGGAATGCGGGTAGATTTGGGTTTAGCTTAGTTTTCGAGATACAATATCGAATTGTTGGCTCTAGCCTCCCCCCTTTTGTGGGTAATTATTGTAATCTTAAGCTTAGAAGAAGAAAAGAAAGAAAAAAAAAAGAAGAAAAAAGAGTTGGGATTTTCTTGATGGGGTTCTTGGTTGATTCGAGCGAGGGAGGTGGACAGAGCTCATGGATTGGTCTCAAAGGATTGATGAGGAGGAAACAAGTTGATTCTGCCCACTCATCATCTTCTTCTTCATCAGGGCATCATCAGTTAGCCAGAGAGTTATCTGTTCCTCACCTTATTTCTATAGGTACCCATCTTGTAGTTTTTGGTTTTCTATTTTCATTTTGTTTTGATTTGGAAGCTATGTCCTCTTATCTCAGAAGCTCTTTATTGGGTTTGAGTTTTTGATGTTCTTGAAGCTGTTTTCATGCTGCTTTTTCCTTGTGGGTAATAAATCTCAGTAACGTTATGTTTATTTTTTGGGATTAGTTTCTTATACTGTTAGTTGTCTCTCTGAAGTTGGAGGTCTAGATTGATAGAATTTTCCTACTGTTTCCCACTCCCAAAGATCTGATGGATATTGATCTTCTGGGGGTTCAACTGACCATTCGGATCTCAAGTGTATTTGTCTCTTTTTATTTTCGGTGACTCATCATGGAAGCTTGTTTCCTCTGTATAGGAGTTGGCGCTACTATTGGAGCTGGAGTGTATATTCTTGTTGGAACTGTAGCCAGAGAGCATTCTGGACCAGCCCTTGCCATCTCCTTTCTAATTGCTGGAATAGCTGCAGCGCTTTCTGCATTTTGCTATGCTGAGCTCTCTAGTCGTTGTCCGTCTGCTGGGAGTGCCTATCACTACTCATACATATGTGTTGGAGAAGGGTAATTCTATGTGACTTATACTTTTGCAGATTCTAGTGGTACTGGTTAGTGCTTAGGCCATCTATCTTTAGATAAGAGCTTGGTTAGTACCTCGAAGCCGAAAGAGTATGTTGATTTGAATCAGTTTTTGGGTTCTTGGATGTGTATTTGTGTGATAGATTTTCTTAACATAGATGTGAAATAGCTGATTTTGAATATCTTTTTTTTCATCCCAAAATTTTGTTTGTGATGAGACGGGTATCTGTTGATGAAGTTTTAAGATTTCTTTTAGCATATGATTCTGTAGTTCATATTTACAACATGATTCACCTACTAGTTGGTGATTTTCCATTACTGTTGCTTACAGTGTTGCTTGGTTGATTGGTTGGGCTTTGATACTGGAATATACGCTCGGTGGCTCAACTGTTGCACGTGGAATATCCCCAAATTTGGTACAGTGAATGCCTTCCAACTTTTCACTCGATTATTCAATAAAATAGCAATGAACTCCTTTTTGAAGTCATGTTTCAATAAAATAGCAACGAACTCCTTTTTGAAGTCATGTTTTTGTGCCATCATTTAAAAAAGCTAAGAACTCCGATGCCTTAGTAGCGTTCTCATGCTATCTTTTATCATTTTCCCTGTTGCAGGCCTTGTTGTTTGGCGGAAATGATCGTTTGCCTGTCTTTCTAGCCCGGCAAACTCTACCCGGACTCGATATTGTTGTAGATCCATGTGCAGCAATCTTAGTTTTGATTGTCACTGCTCTATTATGTGTTGGAATCAAGGAGGTATGCTAGAATTTTGTGGAAGAATAATTTCTAAATCACATGTGATAAGGTAACTCTTGTTGTTATTAATTTGTGTAATTTTCTTCAGAGTATTGCAGCGCAAGCCGTTGTGACAGCAGCAAATATATGTGCAATGATTTTTGTCATTGTAGCTGGCTCTTATATCGGTTACAAGACGGGATGGGTTGGATATCAACTTCCTACAGGGTACTTAAAGATTCTCACTCTCTATTTTATTCCTATATAAATTAATAATGCCATCTACAATGTACAATTTATGAACTTCAACTCTGCAAACAGGTATTTTCCATATGGAGTAGATGGGATGCTTGCTGGGTCTGCTACTGTCTTCTTTGCTTATATTGGTTTCGATGCTGTGGCTAGTACTGCTGAGGAGGTATAATTTTATACCAGCATCTGTCGTCTCAACTTATTTCTTGAAATATTAACAGATCACAGTTTTCAAGAGAAATTCTTAATTTGCAAGAAAGTATCTGAAAGCAAAAGAAAGCCGGGGAATGAGGGTCTTTCATTCTCCCCTAATTTAGCAGAAAGTCAAGGGAGCAGGATCTCCCCATGAAGAACAAGTTCTTTGCTGCTCATGTTTTCCTCTTAATTATTCTTTAACTGATATGAAAAAGATACCTTTTGATAAATCTAAGCCAACGAAATATTTGGATTGAACAGGGATAAGATTTAAAGGTTGTTTTATATTTAAAGAACCAATTTCATCTAAGCATTTATGAATGTTTATCAACAAATGCATGAGAAACTAGAAAGATATAAATGTTTTTTAGGATTTCTTTTTGGCTTGCATGATCATGGAAATGTTGATTTGCTCAGGATTTTGACTTGAGTTGCATTCTCTGAGTATTTCCAATAGGTGAAAAATCCACAACGGGATTTGCCACTCGGGATAGCCTCTTCGTTATCTCTTTGTTGTGCATTATATATGCTGGTCTCTGTTGTCGTTGTTGGTCTGGTGCCTTATTATGAGATGGATCCTGACACCCCCATCTCTTCTGCGTTTGCTGAGCATGGAATGCAATGGGCAGCGTAAGTGGACTAATTAATGTGCTTTAAATTTCGAATTATGGTGGGGCTGCTGCTAATTTCGTGTTGTTAGTCTTTCGGGGCGAATCCGGAAGATTGTCTCAGCTGATGTTATCTTTTTTCGTCCAGTTATGTGGTGAGTGCTGGAGCTGTTACTGCACTGTGCTCAACATTGATGGGTTCTATTCTCCCTCAGGTAAATATGGAAGTCTTTTGAGATATCTCTTCACAAGTTAGAAGTTTTCAGAATTGCTTTTTGTTTTGGTCTGTCACAAAACAGTCCTGATTGTTCAAGTATATTACCAACTACGAAGCACGGATATGGGCACGACATGCATGACACAGTAATGCATCATTTCTTAAAAATCTAGGGCATGAATATGTCAGAGACACGTTTATTGAATTTACATTTTAAAAAAAATATATATCACTTTATAGAAGGAAATTTAAAGTCAACATACTTGGCACGCATATGTATATAAAATGAGTTTGATAAACGAGTTTAATGTATTTTGCTTTCAAAAGTTATTATGTTTGTACTATAATACTATTTAAGTCCGTGTATTAGACTTAATATGTGCCTCATAAGTCATGGAATCATATTAATTTTGTACAACTAGTATCACACAAGTGTCCGACAAGTGTTAGTGTTGAACACTTCGACTCGTGTCGGGCATGAAACATTATCCAAACTAAAGTGTCTATGCTTCTTAGATGCTTCTGAATGATAATGCAAGGAATAGAATCCTGATGCCCACCAATCATTAAAGAATATGAACTTTGGAACTGTTATATGCCTTTCAATTTCTTGGCTTATTCATTGTAGTTTACCGTTGATATAGCTACCGTGGATGTTGCATTGCTTATGTCGTAGTTATGAATCCTTATTTTCTTTCCCAAATAAGAAAATTCTTCCTTTCTTCTCGTTCTCTTTCCTTCTAAGTCCTGCATCTTTCTGCTACACGTGTACTAATTTCGATACTTTTATGCTCCCCAGCCACGGATCTTGATGGCAATGGCGAGAGATGGGTTGCTGCCCTCTTTTTTCTCAGACGTCAACAAACACACTCAAGTTCCTGTCAAGAGCACCATAGCAAGTGGTGTCGGTGCTGCAGGCTTGGCCTTTTTCATGGATGTTTCAGAGTTAGCAGGGATGGTAAGTAGACTCTAGCAAATTCGTCCAATATGGATTGGAGTGATCCATTCTATCTGATTTTTCTCATAGAATTGGCGATAAAGGTAAAAACGTTTTGACTGGTTAAGTTACTGTGAAATGTTCGTAACCAAAATAATCTTACACAATCTGAAAATTTCATCTCTCTAAGTTACCTCTATCTTTTCATTTCATTGTGTATGCTTGTGACCGAGGTACATATTGACATTTTTTAATGCCTTGTTCATTTCAAAGAGTCTAGCTATGAAGACAACGAGAACACGTTTTATGAAATGGAGTTCAAAGTCTTGATACTGAAATAGACTCTTCCTAGAATTTTAGTCCTAAATTGCTCTCTTGATCATGGAAGAGTAAAACTATACGAGATATCGTCTTTTTACTGTTTCGACTTTGTGGGAGAGTTGGTTGAACATGGTTTTCACTTTGTGCAGGTCAGTGTTGGTACCCTTCTTGCATTTACCACAGTGGCAATATCAGTATTGATTCTCAGATACATTCCACCAAATCAGGTGCCATTGCCTTCATCTCTTCCACAGTCAGTTGATCCATTGTCCCTACCGTATCACACGAGTGTCAATGATGTTAAGGGGAAAGATCCCGAGATCCTTGTCGGTTCTGCAAAGGACAGTTCTAGACCTTTACTTGAGAAAGAGGATGCATTGGTTGACATCCCCATAATTGGGAGCTACCTCGCTCGACGTGGCTGTAAGTTTCATGGTTGCTCTAACGAGGCTCGTAATCTTGAAGCATGTTTTACCAAAAGAAAAACCTGTTTAAAGAAAAATTGGAAGATAATAACTTGAGTGTCTTTAGTTTTAAGCAAAACGCGCCCTCTTTTTTTTCCTTTGGCTTTGTGCTTAACCCAATAAGACAACTGTGCTCCAACATGCTTCTCACTTTTTTTTTCTCATGTTTAATTGCTACAGATGTTCTAAGTGAGAAGAATCGAAGAAAAATTGCGGGATGGACCATCTTTTTAACATGCGTAGGGGCGCTACTTCTTACGTACGCAGCTACAAATTTAAGCCTTCCAAGGTTGGTTATTACAAATTTTATTTGCTTCGAATGACGCAGCTTGCTTCCCATTCGTAACATTTGCTGATCTATTATGTATGATTATAGATGGCCATAAAAAAGAGCAATGAATACTTAAAAAAATGAGGAAAGCTGTTAAGATTTGAAGTTCTTGATATGTTTTATAGTCGAGAAACTAGTATAATCATGTATTTCATTACAGATCTCTCTCGATTTCTCGTTCTCTCTTATTTTAATTTATTTTTGGGATGTTTTAGTTTGTCTTCTAATTATTTTTACAAAATGTGTTTGGTTATCCTATCAGCTACCTACGATATTCAGTTAGCGGAGTTGGCGGTATGCTTCTTTTATCTGCTTTGGTTGTGCTCTCATGCATAGACCAAGATGATGCAAGGCACAGCTTTGGGCACGAAGGAGGTTAGTGATATTTTGGGATAAAATGACGCCATCTCTCTCTCTCTCTCGTATTCGTATTTGGCCTTTTAATTTGTTAGCGAAATAGGACTCGGGTTTATATCATTCTATTCTTGGTCGTGGCCAATCTAACATAACCCGGGTGTCTTTAGGATAACAATATATTGGTCTTAATGTATAAGCGAACATCTCTTGTTCTTTTCTCAGGATTCATCTGTCCATTAGTTCCTCTGCTACCAATTGTGTGTATTCTCATCAACACCTACTTGCTCATCAATCTCGGGTAACAACCGCGTTCCATCTTAGCTAGTTCCATTTGCTAATTTCTACTTTTTGAGGTTCCTGGACGATATTACCTAACGTTATCTGGAATATCTTTCTCAACCAAAATCCCTTTTCGTAACCTTTCAGAGTTGGTACATGGGCGCGAGTGTCGATATGGCTTGTGATCGGAATGGTCATTTACGCAATCTACGGCCGAACCCACAGCTCCCTACGGGACGTAGTGTACGTGCCTGTCGCCCAGGCCGAGAAGGTAAACAACTACTCAAGGGAGGTGCTGGCTTGACGGATGGATGTTTGTACAAAGAATAGCAGAAGGCAAAAAGTTTGAAGCCATCAAAGAGATAGGTTTCAGCATTGATGGTGACAAAACTTTGCCAGAAGAAAGGTTTCAGAAGTTGATTATTATTTGTTACCATATTGTATTATTATTATTATAATCATCTATGGAGACTAATCAGTCTCTTTGTATAATGGGTTGGTTATAGAATTTTCTCAGTTTTTTTTTCTCTTCTGTGAAAGGAAGGAATGGGAGGTTGTTCAAAGCAAATGATGTAAATATGAAGAACATTTCATTATCTCTCCATATCTATCTCTATGTATGTATAGTACTTGTTCTTTTGTGAGTTCAACGAATCTAGGGATGGTCGGATGGATGATCGATCATTCAACTTTAAAGAAGGTAAAGTTAAAATCTAAGAGTTAAAGTTTTTTTTTTTATCTAATAAACTATGTTCGGAGTGGCATGTTTGGATAAATAAATATAAAGTTGTATAGTACATGTTTGGATGAGTGAATATTTAGGATTCATTTGGTAGCGTTGCTGTTTTCTCTTTTTTAATAAAGAAAAATAGAATTGCATAGTTCCCAGCATGTGATAAAACAAAACTTTTGTTTATGTTAGGATAAATTGAAAACATAATCCAGAAACATTTTTATTTTGAAAATGTTTTAAATAAAAATGTTTCTAAAAAATGAGAAATAAGTTACAATGTTTGGATTTTCTAATGAAATTGAAAACAAGAAATGAGAATGAGAATCTTACCAATGGAAAGAGATATTTTATGATAAATAAAATAAAGGGAATCTTACCAATGGAAAGAGATATTTTATGATAAATAAAATAAAGGGATAAACATATAATTTAATATGTTCTTAAAATTTTGTCCCCTAATCTTTTAATAATTTTTAGAGTTAAATACTGATTTGATTTCTATACTTTTGATTTGTTTTATTACTTTCAAAACCGCTCTATTAGAACGAGATCAATTTAGTTCATATTTAAAAAATTTTAATATGGAAACTATTTGATACAAATTTATGGCTATATTTTAAGAAATTTAATGAGTGACTTGGTATGCTAAATTTATCCTAGAAAGAAATGAGATATAAATGAAAATAAAAGGACTAAAATTATTATTATTTTAAAGTATAAGTATCAAAATAGACATTTCAAAAGTATAGAGACTAAAATAAACAAAAGTTGAAAATATATGGATCAAAGTAGCCGTAATGAAAGTATATAATTTTTCACCTTAAATTTTAAATTTTAAATTAATAGTTAATATTAAATATTTTATAAAAATATCAAATTAATATAATTAACGTGTTTTAGAAAATAACATTTAAAATTAATTTAAATTAAATTGATAAAAAAATTAAATTAATAAAGATATAAAAATCAATGTATAAACTAGACAATATTTGTAAGGCTTTTTGGGAACCAATATTGTGAAATAAACATAACTATTAAAATATTCTCATACATCATTATAAATTCATACAAAACAAATATAATTATCTAAAAGATGTCGGACATCTGAATTTTCTAACCCATGAATTATGAACATCTAAAATCTTTAAAATAAATGACTCCTTAATTATGGAAGTAAACATTAAATCGGACAGATAGTCATGAGTTATTTGACTAAAAATTGGTAGTTTAGGGTTATTAAATTTTGTTTATAGTAGTTAAGTGACCTGATTTATTTTCTTATTTTGTTGTATTATATTTGAGAGTGATCTTGAAATTTCAAATTTTTTAATTATATTTTTAGAACTTTTAATTTTCTTTCTTTTCCTTTTTTGGCACATGATTTAACTTTATCTTTTCTCAATTTTCACGTGAGTAATTTAGAATATGTTGAATATCATCGGTAGCATACCATGAACTATTAATTAAGTAGTCAAGAATATTAATCAACAATACAACAAATCAAGTATCTACAAATTTATATATATTTTTTTTAAAAAAAGAGGAAATTCATAGTAAATATAGAATTCAAAACCTACACAATTTTGGAGGACTAAAAACTTAAAAAAAAAAAGAAAAGAAAAGAAAAGAAAAGAGAATAACTTTCGTTTGTATTCTTTAACCCATTTTAATGATTTATTATTTAAATATTATATAATTCATATAAATGACCTAAATGTACATATACTTTTCTAAAATATTAAGAAATACTCACATGAGTGTTTCATGTGAATGTATGAGTGTTTTAGTGAGTCAAATTTTATGTTGTATTTTAAATTTGATCAAATTACAAATTTAAAAAACTTGAACAAGGGATAAAGTTAATATCTTTGAATAGTAAATTGTTCATAAATCAACGTATAAATTATATAAATTTTGAATTACATAACCTAATCAAATTTAAAAAACTTGAACAAGGGATAAAGTTAATATCTCCCGTAAAACTAAAATAGTAAATTGTGCATAAATCAACGCATAAATTATATAAATTTTGAATAACATAACCCTCAAAATTGTACAATAGCCATACCTAAATCCAACTAGAAAAGTACTAGAATGTAGCCACAAAATCAAGTAGAGAAATTAAACCATTCAAATATCAACGACAAGGTGCCTAAGTATAGTTAAAAAACATCGAACAAATCTAAAACTTTAACACCCCATAATAATCTTGTCCAGCCATAATAACGCTCACAAGTTGTCACAAATCTTAAAATAGAGAAAGAAACAAAAATTAAAACTAAATTACTCAAGAATGTTAATTCATCACTTTAAGTCAAGCTTCACAAACAAATTAAAAGTTTAAGGTTAGAAATGACTAAGTTGAAAAATAACTAAAATTTTCGCAAATAATTGATACAATCGATTATGTACAACAATATATTAATACATTTGTTAAAACAAAACCACGAAAAAAACAAAAAAAAAGTTTAACACATTGGTTTTTTGAAAACGTCTTTTAGAGACGAGCTTAAAAAACAAGGCCAATTTTGATCCAACAATTTTATTCTAAAAAGCTTCTTACCAACTAGATTTCTAACAAAATTTGTGTTTTTCTTTTTAAAACAAAATATTATTTTTAGATTTTCAATTTAGGACCTAAGGGTATATAAAGGAAGCAATGAAAGAAGATGAGAGAACACGGAAGAAATGGAGTCAATTAGTTCTAAGATGTTTCTGGGAGCATGTACTCTTATATTCTTGGGGTTTCATCTTACCTTTTGGCAAATAGATGCGAGAAAAGTTGTTGTGGCTCATAAAGATTTAGAATTCTCCATTCTAAAAAAGGAAYCGATCGTCAATAATGAAATGTATCTAAAACAAGTACCAATTATGCATCAACTAGGTTGAGTCAGAGGACATCAGACTCATCACCTCTTCCATCGACCAAGGGATTATGGCCATTTTTTGTAGTGGATGACATAATTCCTCCTTCTGGGCCGAGTAAAAGATTCTCAGACTCCTCAACTCCCCCACCACATACTGCATGAACCATTTTCGACAAAGAAATGAAGTCCGAAGTTTAAATGTAACTAAAATGCATAACCATTCACCCATGTGGGAGGAATAGAAGGATACCTAAATAACTACCTTATCAACCATCCATTTAGTTGAGAATCTCATTGCTCTTTTTAGCACAAGTGTTGATAATTGAGGTGCACTCCTTTAGGGTAGGCGCTTGAAATATATAAATATATATATCTCAAAGTTTGTATTTCTTAAATTATGTTAAATAAAGACATCTATTAATTTTCTTGAGCTCAAAAGTTAATTTTTCCACGCTAAGGTCGTTCTACTAAAAAAAATGTCAAATAACTAATTTTTTTTTTWAAAAAATTAATAATTGTAATAAATCACATGTAATTCTATTGCCTTGGAATAAAAAACTAAAAATATATTTTTAATTATTTTTTCTATTTTCAATGTTTTTATAACATTTCACTAATCTTTATATTTATTATTAAAGTGGGATAGATGAAGAATCATTTTTTACTATTTTATCCGAAATCTAATTCAAAAACTTCAAATAATAAATTCATTTAACACAAAAATTGAGAAAGAATAAATAAAACCTAATTCAATGGTATAGAAAAAACACACACACACCCCATAAAATGGGGTTAAATCATACTTGTGTTTTAGATAATTTTATTAATGCGCGTTTGTCTTTATTTGATGTTCAAGATCACGCGACTTGGATTCGAATTCAAGACATTCTAGTCGGACATAGATATCTTAACTCGTTGAACTATATTTAAGTTGATGAAACAAGATGGTTGAATTTCAAGATCTTTGAAATTTTATTAAATCTATCCGTAAGAACGTAAATTTTAAAAAGTAATTTCTTGAAATAAATAGAAAAGATGTTTCAGCTAATCAGATATATTCCTATCTTTTCACATTCTTTTTAATCAAAGTAATTAAAAATTAAAAATGACAATTTATTTATTTACTTTTTGAGTACAACAATTTGAGAATATGAGAGATCGAACTTCCAACTTGGATGGAGAGAATACATGCTAATTGCAGTTTTTTTTTGAGAAGACAGGCTAATTACAGTTGAGCGCTTATAAATTTAAAAAATAATCCAGAAATATTTTTTCAAGATTGTTACTTCATAAATTTGAACTTTCTGTGAAACGATTTAAAAACGAAAAAGAATAAAATAATATGTTCTAAAAAACTATGAACTAAACAAAATGTTTGAATAATGTTTAACCAAAATTAAATGCAAGGAAATAAGTAAATATGAAACTGATTTCATTTTGTATCTCTCCATATCTCTATAAACATGTTCATTTGTGAGATCAACAAATGCAGGGACGAAAAATCGAACATTTAACTTTAAATAAGGTAACAATTGAAAGTTGAAAGCTGTT